CTCTGCGCACATACGCTTAAGGCGCCGCGCTAACTTCCCGGCGCGCTGTTTGCGAGTTCAATGTTAAAAAAGTTGAGCTCGCAGTATAAAGCGCACTGTTAGAGCACCATCGTTAGTTCGCCACTCCTTAAGAGTCGGACGGCAGTAACTGCAAGTTGGCTTTTGTAGTCGGCAATCGACAAATCGACAGTCGTGTGTCGCTGCGAGGGTGGGCCGTTGGAGCGAATTTGCGTCCGTCCGCGTCTCTGCATTGACTTTACATGTAATCGCGCCGCCCCCAAACATTGCATCGCGTCCGCTGTGGACGCAGCATAATATGTCCTCTTTGAAAGGTTCCCCTTCCCCTCATACACTGTGCCGTACCTCCTGCTCAGCAGACTGTCTCCGTCCGTGTCGTTGGCTCCCACTTGGCCCATGTCGTAGGTGTCGTCGTACTCGTCGTCGTAGTCATCCAGGCTGTACGCCTCGGGGCTCTCTCCAGGCTCCAGGACCACCTCGTCCACCACCGTCTCGTAGGACAGGTAGCGAGCTTTCTGCTCCGCTATGTGCTGCTTGTCGTTCAGCAACTCTTTGGCGCTCTCCCCTTTCCTGCAAGAATTATAATAAACAAAGAGCAGATCACAGGCAGTCCCACCTTTTCTTCTTTCTTTAAATATGTAAATGATTTTAGCGTTATTAAGAATCCTACTTTGCTTTCACTAAACATTTTGGGTAGGGTTTTTTAAGCACATAAAGAGGAGTATTCTTTCTGGGCTCATTTTACCTCCTGCCTTTCCAGATGCGGGACATGTCCACCTGGTCTCTGCGGAAAACGTCAAACTCGTCATCATCGAACACGTTGGATCTGACGTTCAGCACATCTGGAAGCGGCTCCACCACTGGCCTGAAGGGACAGAAGAAGAACGGGAGTCAAACACAGCTTTGAGGACTCATTTGGCTTCAAATGATTCACTACACCCATTCTACAAATCATCTGCAATAGATTTGATCATTTGTGGAGTTTGTCCCAAAAAGTATTAACAGCAATTTAGGTTATCAATTAACTGAAGTTATCAAATATATATAATTTAACAAGCAATAATGCTGAAGATTTGAATGTTTCATCTTGTTAAAGGGGCCCTATTATGCTTTTGGGGGTTTTCCCTTTCCCATAGTGTGTTACAGAGGTTTGTGTGCATGTTAATGGTCTGCAAAGATTAAAATCCTAAAGAATCCTCCAGAGGGAGTCGAGTCCCCCCCACCCCCCCTCCATTGGACTCCTTTGTTAACTTATTTTCGATTCGCTAACGCTCCAATACATTATACGTGATTTGCGTAGGGGCGTGCATTACTATGACAATGCCATCGGAGTAATTAAGAAATTAGAGTAGCAAAAATAAGTGACATTTTTGAACTAAAAGCAATTATTTCTACATGTGCCCCTCTCTATCAAAGTCAGACAGATTTTAATTGCGTTCTGAGATAATAAAACTTGTGATTGTGTTATTTTGGGATTCAGGTTGATTTTAAATAAAATGTGGCTTTCAGAACATATAATTCTATTCGCCATATTGAGACGATAAACACGTTTTTTAAGCTTGTACGGACAGGCTGTCACTTACACACACGTTCTTGATGCTACTAGCTTAAAAGTGAGTTAGCCTAATTCATAGGACAGATGACTGAACAATAATCTGCTGCCTGTTGAACATCATTGAAGGAACCGCCTGTTAACAAACTTTGTCAATAAAGATTTCAGAATCCAAGCTAATCCAATGCAGCACCTCTGAACCAGAGCCCAGTCTGCTCTGATTGGTTAGCTGGCCGGCTCTGTTGTGATTGCTCAACTGCGTAGATATGTCCCGCCTCTTAGGCCATTACGTACAATGTGTTGGCCCGAGGTGGACAGGAGACGCCTTTTGCAGTTTTGAGCAGTAGTAGCTTGTGCAACCTATGACTGCAAGCTCCAGTGTAGACCTTCGCCGAGGGGTGGTGACCGGACTTCCCTGTCTTCTTCTTGCCCTCAGTTTGTGTCGAAACTCCTGAGTAAACCGAAGTTTACTAAGTGATGTGGGTAAGATGTTTAGTAGACGTTATCTAAACTAGTAAACACCTCAAACAGGGTTTTTCATAATTGTCGTTAAATCCAATAGTTAATTGACTTCAATAGTTTATATATATTAAATTGTTCGTTATTACGACTTCTAAACTTACAAAGTAGAACAATTTCCCCGGGATAATACGAAAACCCCCAAAAGGGAAAGGGTATCACACAATGTCTCCAAACACACGTACAATTACCAGACGTTTCTAATTTTAGGATTTCTTAGGAGGTCTCCCTCAGCTCAGGGGGGGTGGGGGGGAGGTAACCTGAGGAAACAATTGAATAAAAGCTAAGCGATTGCGAGGTTATGTAATATGCACTAAACGCATCCCCGCACGTAATGATACTGTTACGGTAGCCTCATTAATTCTTTAATCTCATCGTTTTTATTCACTGTAAAAACTTGATTTTCGTTAATAAAGATGTACACGGGGAGAGATAGTTTCAGTCTGTCTAAAATTAACGCAAGACTCTATTATTTTGAACACTAACACAATAAAACCCTAAGTCCAACTAAAATTTATTTTACACCGAAAGTCTTGTATATTAAGATAAGCGGTATAACTCTGCTATTTGTGCAAAAAATTCGAACATGCCTGTCCGACAGTGAATGTGTGTGCAAGAACTACGATGATCGAATTTTCACTCAATCGGATTAAGTATCCTGTCTACTGACTTGTTATTAGACGACGGACAACTTGTAGTAACTTCCTTGGCGGACAATTGTTTGAAACAGTTATTTCTAAAGTCTTAGGTTCGATTAGGTTACGTCGTGGAGACTTGGTCTCGGGTCAGACGAGACTAACCAATCGACCGGCCGAGACAACACTAACGAGTTGACGCATCTATACAGGGCGGAGAATCCGGTAATGCATGTTACACAACCGGCTAGATACACCGTTTATTATTTAATACCTCGTAAAAATCCATTTCCATGGGGACACACCACCCCAGTGGACCCGTACCGAGCCAGGTCGACCAGGTCCGACCCCCGGTCCGGCCAGTGAGGTCCTACAACAACTACTGGTCCGAGTCTCAACATAACCATGAGGAACTCGGTCCGGTCGTCCTTCGGAGCGGGTCCAGGGCCGTCGTCCAGGGACTACGTCCAGTCGTCTCTGAGGACGAGGCGGAGCGAGTGGCGGTGTCGTGGGTCGAGGGACTCTCGCCCAGTAGGTGCTCGTCTCTGAAGTAATAGGAAATAACAGTAAAGTCAAAAATTACTTTACCTAGACTATTACTATAATATCACAATGACGCTATTCGCGACGACCATATGATATACAAAAAATAACTAGAGATCGAGAGCGACGTGGTGACAAACAACAACGCAAAATCTAAATATGTTCAAACGCAACATTACCCAAAAGGAAACAAACTGTGTTCTTTATGGTATTATATTGTCCGAAACCCTCAAATTATTACTGTAGCATTGACCTCATGTCAATGACGTTATGAGGGAATGTAATAATTCTGCAAAGATGTTGCTAACGTTCGACATATTGATACAATGTTTTGTTTTATTTTCCAAACGGCATATCATAGTCGTGAATAGAGAAGGACATTGACATGACAAGTCATTTGATTATGAAGTTCACACCTAGAATGCGAAGAATGGACTTAGACGAAATACCAAAGAAAGAAGTAAACAAAAATATTAACGTCTTTCAACTTGGATATTCATAGTTATTTATATATATATGCGTCGTGAGCAATCAGTCATAGTGATAGTACACTTGACTTAGTACTTACAACTTTTTCGTTCTGTTTACTTCTGTACGACAGTAATACTTTATGCACTACTGTTAATCTCCTGAGTGTTTGTAACAAGAGAAAAGCCCCTCGCAGGTGGTACCGGAGCGGGACCGGGAGGGGGGAGAGAGAGCGAAGACTCCGGAGGTACGTTCTCTCGCCACACAACGCCACTCCGCTCCGCCATCCGTCCTCAGATGACGAACTGGACGTCAGTCCCTGGACGCGGACGGACCTGGAAGCCCCGCCCCGAAGGACGACCGGACGGGAGTGTCCTCGATGGTTGGATTGTTGAGACCTACCGACCAGTAGTTGTTGATAGGACCCTCCTCGGCGGACTCCGGGGGTCGGATACCTGGTCGACTGGGCTCGGTACGGGTCAACTTCGGGTGTGTGTCCCCCTGGAAATGGATTTCCTTGACTGATAATAAATCAATAACCGGTGTACTAGCCGTCGGTGTGNACTTTATGATGTCATAACAATTTTTTGGCTTGTGTAACCATTAGCCAATCAGCAACCAAGGTAACACCCGCCCACCTTATCACCTGAATCTCCTCCTAGAGCACCATGGTGTTCTTTTTAACCAAATATCTCTCAGAGGGGTGTGGGGAGTGGCTCCTTATTTTCATCTAAAGTAACAGGCAGATAATCAGCTCTTTTGAAACAGGGCTGAAACAGAGGGGATTATGGGATGCTGCAATGATCTGTTTGGTATTTCAGCCAAACGTTCAGAGACATGTTTTGTATATATCCGAGACCTATAATATATTGATGAAAAAGAGCATAATAGGAGACCTTTAAGAGAGATTACAGGACATTTTCAGTCGAATAGAAATTTTATCTGTGTTTCTTTAAAGTTGTGAAGCATTCGTGTACATTGACCTATGTCCTTGTTTTAGGTGAAATAGTGCCAGGTCTGCTGGGAAACGACATCAAGGTGCTGGTGAAGGAGTTGGCGGGAGGAAATTACTCATGTCACCTCAGCCAGAACGGAGAATACCTCAACCACACCGTGATCCTGATCCAATTAGACCCAGAAAACAAGACTGTGATACTGGAAGAAAAACCCCCTGGAAAGGGTAAGATAAGACAGATGGAGTATGGCAGCAAGGAGAAAAAAAACATTTAAAAAAACATAAAACAGACCGAGATACAGTATGCATTTTATGTGAGATATTTTATGGATGTCAGCAAAGAGCTGAGATAAGAAGAGAATGCCAGAGGAAGAAAATATTATTATAAAAACAGACAGGCAACACAACAGACATTTACCTTGAGGAGTGGGGAACATGTCAAAACAAAGTGGATGAAAGGAGTAGCAGAGTGATGATGTGAAGGGAAAACAACTGACATAAAGAGGAAGAAACGAGCAAGACAGCAGTGTCGTTGTTACATTAATGTTGATACTTTGATAACATTACTTCGGAATAAATTAACCAAACCAAAGTTGACACCCATCACCATATTGTCAGAGAAAACACCAAACGTGTTGCTCCTAGTCCACAAAAGTGTTGTGTACTCCAGATAAAAATACCTTTTCCATTTGTTTGAACAAAATGTGAAATATAGTGAGGCGGCTGTTATGAAGCTGACAATCCTCTGCTCAGTTTGATGGCTTGTTCGCAGTCATAATAAATGTCCTGAATTTAAGTTTGCAATGATTTAATGGTTGTTATGCTGGGACCTTCAATATAAAGTGCTCTCAACGCAACACATAGAGATAAAGTCTTCCCAATATTGAACACAAAGAGAGGGACTAACTGTGTTTCTGTTCCTCCAGGTGAAATCCACTGTGAAGCAGTGAACTATAACGGCTCTTTCAACTGCTCCTGGACCAGAACGCAGTACAGAACCAACGCCGCCGTGCTCCTGGTGAAAGTAGAACGGTGAGGACGTCATATCTCACACAACACTCCTCCTAATGATCTGTGCTCATTTCAATCAGGAATAGGACATGTTACCTGTTTTAGATAGTATTGTTCCAACCGGTTTGTCTTCAATCTAGTAAATCAGTGAATATTTCCTGTGAGCTGAATGCTGATGGATCAGGGATTCACTGCCAGGAGAACCGCTGCCCATTCGAAGAGGAACAGAACAGCATCTCCCTCACCATCTACATCCACAACTTCTCTCTCCTCGAGGCCTACGGCAAGACTTTCTACCTGAGAGACATCGGTAAGTGATTGGATTTTGTGTCTTCTTATTTTCATCCATTTATCATTTTCTTATTGGGAGTAGCTTAATTAAACATCTCAGAATCAGAATCAGTTGTATTACCAAGTTGGGTTACACATACGAGGAATTTGCTTTGGTGTAAGGGGTGCATACAGAGACATTGAAAGAAGAATACGTTACCTAAAAAAGGAATAGTTCAAGCGAAGAAAAAAAAGACTATTGCAACAAATGAAAAATAAAGACAATATTTACACAAAATGTAGTTCTGTAGGAAACTGAGTGCAGTGAAATGTAATAAAATATGACAATACCATATTCAAAGTGGAGAGTTATGCTTCTTTAAAAAGAGCAGAAATGTGCAACATGTTGTGAAGGATTTAGAATATTAAAAAGACTACACTTTTTGTAATATTTGCAACGTGATTTAAGTGGTTAAATTACTTTGAACTGTAAATGACTGTTATTTGGAATGATTTTTTTCACAAATTGCTTCTCTATTGTATTCAGCCCGTTATTTATGCTTGAGCTTTTAGATAATTTTTTAGACCTGTTTTTAAGTTGGAAACATTTTAGCGGAGTTTTGTTTATTTTTTATTTAAAAGGGCTGCCATTTTTAAATGAATTCAATAGATCATATAATTATTTTTAGCTGGCATGTAACTTATTTGTGTAATGTTTAGTTATGATTTTATATCACATACATTGACAATTTGTTTTTAATCCAGAGTAGTTAGGACTGCTATTTCTACATATATTTAGTAAAACAAACTAGATTCCTCCCCACACTAGCTTCGCTGTAATTCAACTTCTTCCAAAGTAAAAAGTTGTTGGTAGTATACCCAAACTCCCCCCGACGCTGCTTATTTTCTTCTGTTTTACCTACTGTTACAATCCTTATTGTTTCACCCTTCTCCACCTCATTCCTCTCCCTCCTCACCCTTTAAAGTGAGGCCTGAGACACTCCCTAACCTGCAGCTGGTCGATGGGGAGGTGTTCAGCTGGAGCTACCCCGAGTCCTGGGAGGTGCCCAGAACCTTCTTTGGCTTGAACTTCCAGGTCAAGATTGTCAAAAAATCTCAAACCTGTGACAGTGAAGAGATCATAATGGTAATCAAAACATGCACAATGTACATGAGACTATATTAAAGTCACACTAACCATATGCTGACTTACAGTTAAACCACAATTCATTCTCTTGAATGTGTCCTCTCTTCTTTTGTGCAGCTTAACACAACTCAGGACACCAATTATCAGGTCAAGGTCAAAAGCAGCAAGTTTGTTTTTTGCGTGCGAGCTCAGGACAAATACACCAACGGCCTATTAAGCCCCTGGAGCCAATGCAAGTAAGTATGACTATTACCATCGGGAGTAAGAACTGTTTTAGTCATTTATGGGGATTATGTTTTATTCAAATGATACCAAATCATGCCACCAACATGAATCTGATCTTTAATGTTTCTTCTGTCTACAGAGCGGATAAAGGAAAATGCTCTTAAACCAGACCAAAGCCATAAAGTATGCAAGAAGACAAGGACGCAAGAAAATATGTTTCTATCTCTATTTTTCAACTTTTTTTTAAAGCTACTCACAACAGAGTGATGCTGTGCTTTTACCTGTACAGTATTTATTGGTACTCACTCTATTTGTCTTAATGGAACTTCATATGCGGATACAATTATTATTTGTAGATCTTACCACTTTTTAACTTTTATTTATAACTATCATTGTAGAATTGTTTCTAAAATGTGTCTTCATAACATTTCATAATAAACTGATGAACATTCATATACTGCACTTTTTGATTATTTGTTGTACAAATGCAGTGGTATTTCCTGTCAATCCTCTACTATTTTAAATGATTCAAGGAACGATAAACAACACAGTCCATTTAAGTACAAAAAAAAGGTTTATTGTCATATTTACAGCCACGATGTCAGGGATGTGATGAGGAAAACATAAAAAGACAGATCTCAAGAAATCGTGTCATGAAATGAAAAAAGGAGTAAAATGTCCAAGAGAGCTGTAAACTTGACAAAATCTGAAAATAAATCACATCCCTGATGTTTCCAAGAGCTTCAGGTGCTACTTGATCATAAAGATGGGCACACTTTCCCTTTCTCTTCTTCATCCATAACTTAAAATCCACTTTGACAATAAGTGCAGACACAATTAATTTCAATAATGAAGCAGCTACCAAAAACCAAAAAAAGAATGAACGGAACATGCACATTATGTGCTGTCAGTTTCTTGCATTCCGAGCACCTTGTCCTCATTTTGTTAATCAACATATGAAGTAACCTCACAAATATGTATTAAGGAATTGTGCATGAAATAAAAATAGAGCCAATCCTTTGCACGTAACAGAGATGGCATGTAACAATGGGCAAAGCACACACCCCTGTCCACCCATCCCCCCCAGCCTACAGGCCTGGGTCCACTGACCCCTGCATACAAGATTTCCCTCACAACATGCATGACAGCCAATTTCTCTGATGGTATTTTCGATACAACCTGTCTCAATCTCAAGGCTGTTAATGCCCCAGTAACATTGAGGATTATTGCATATTATTTAATAAATCAAATTGTGTTGCAGCATAAGTTTGACCCTTACTCTCAATACCGTCAGATTTACCATGCCAGATGAACTACAGTAAATGTGCCATTTGTTAAATCTTTCTTGTTGAACTAACATTTATTATTTTTCTTTCATTCATTACATTAAGAATGTAGCATTATTGTGTTTTCTGATGGCTAATCTCAGTCAATTGTGTACAGGGGTGTGGGAAACAACTTATTGACTTTAACCCTGGTGAAATTATATTTGAATCTGTGTTTTCTTGCTTGGTGTGTTCAGGGCAAAGTTAGCTTTTGAGTGAAAGCCAAGCAACTTCACATTACCTCTAAAGAGAAATTGCTGTAAACCCAATCCATCCATCCTGAAGGCCAAGCAGATTCAAATAAGATGTATTTTAGACTCCTGACTGAAGTAGGCAGGTAGCATTTTATTGGTCACAGTTGCATGTTGCCTCAAACATAAGGGTAGTTTGTTTAGCCCACACAGGTGTATTTTATGATCACTAAACATACGTGTGGTAAATGCAGTTGTTATTGTAACAAATGCAAAAAACAATTCCAAGATTTTGGCCAGAACATGCAAATATCCAAATTGGGAAGCCCATCTCAGACGCGAGCTGTTGAGCGTTGGTGGCTGCAGGGTTAGTGTTGGATTGAAGTAAAGTTTGTGTGTGTGTGTGTGTGTGTGTGTGTGTGTGTGTGTGTGTGTGTGTGTGTGTGTGTGTGTGTGTGTGTGTGTGTGTGTGTGTGTGTGTGTGTGTGAGAGAACTGGATGATGTGATGGTAGCGTCCATCTCAAGTCTTTGCCCAGGATGCCTTCCCATTTCAGTGGTGCTGTCTCTTAGATAGGTACCTACACACATACACACACAAACATGTTAAAGTCAACATAACACTTGGATGGAGGTCTTGGATGTACACTATGTAGGCATTTTTACCATTTACCTAGCATATTTGTTTTCATTGTATAAGGAATTTGTAACAGGTGCTTCGAGCATTTGATGTTCCAATGTGTTCTTACCTCTCCCAGTGTTTGTGGTTGAGTCCACTGAAGTCCTCGAGCTTGGCGATTTCTTTGAGGTATTGAGCTAGTTTATAGAGCTCCCTGTCCTTCTCTCTGTTAAGGTGGGCCTTCATGAAGGGTCGGATCTAACACACACACACACACACAAACAAACAATGACATTCAGCCAAATATGGGCATAATGTACGTGTCAAACAATGACGATAATGCTGACCGCCTACCTTTAGTCCGTTCTGTGGGTTCATGAGGAAGTTTCGTCCGATGTCGTCAAACATGATGGTGTTCTTCCTGTTGTAAAACTCTCCATACTTCCCCCATATCACGCCCAGGGGCTTCACCTGGATTTGTGGATACAGCACAAATGAAGGCTCAATCCCTAATTAAGCAAAAAGCTATACAACAGCTAAATATAAATGCTTTCTTCTGCTGTGAACAATAACTTTGTATAAGGAATATGTGAAACTGCAGCGAGTGTGTACCAACCTCCACAACCCCTCTCTTAGGGGTATGTACCGTGATCATCGCTGCACTGTCCAACATGAATGTAATCTTGTAGTTAGGGTTGTCTGTTACTCCCAGCTCCTACACACACACACACACACACACACACACACACACACACACACACACACACACACACACACACACACACACACACACACACACACGTTATGTCCTCTTCCACTCTTAACCCAAAAAACTGTGGGTTGAATTGATTAACACTGCCACCTTTTGGCAGAAAAGGGTACAGTACAGTAATGGCAGTAGTAATGTAGCTTGAGCTCAAACACAAGTGGTATACTTACTTTCATTTTGGCATCAATCCACTTCATACTTGTAGCAGCTGAGAAGAGAAAGCACATATTTAAGATGTATTTATAGCAAGCAGAGATTTTGGGGTAAGAGCACACACAGGAAATCAAAAAGAACAACCGGCCAAAAGATTCTGTGCATATTCTGTGCAAAGAACTGAGGTAGTGTTGTACTGATGGCATTCAGTGGCAAGAACAAATGTACTGTCCAATAAACAAAGTAAAAAGTAAACTATTTAAGAAACTGCTGTAGAGTATTTTTGCAGCCATACATATGTTAACTAGAGCCTCCTTCAAAAAAGGAAGAAAAGCTCAAACAAAAAGGAGATACATACACCAGATGACAATGTCATAGTCCTCGTAGGCTGACGTCAGAAACTCGTGAAGGTACGGTCTCATCAGCTCCTGACCCGTTTCTGCACACGACTTATGATCTGAACACGCAAAAGAGGCAGACATGAATACATGGTGTTCGGATTAAACGAGCAACTATACAAACAGTGATGGCATTATATATTTGAAAGTGTCCTGATATATTGAGTTCCATTACAAAATAAAGATTTTGTATCAATATGTAAAAAATGTGTTCATACAAGTTTCCACCTGATGAGCCTCTTGCAGATTTAAGCCATATTAAATTAGTCAGAAGAAGAAACATTGCAGACGCAGTGTTAAAGTTCTTACTATTAGCATGCTATAATTAGACAAGTCATACAGTCAGGTGTTTATCAATCATATTGTAAAAAAGACAAGTGTCTGTGCCACTGTAACGCACCGAACAGTGTATAGTCCACATCCAGGACCAGAAGCCCCTTGCCTTCTCTGGGAGGGTTCATTTCCTCCACCTTGTAGTCTTTCACTCTGCGGGCGATCTTAGCCAGGTTCTCCTCTCTGCAGCCACGGAACAACATTGGTTTCTCAGAAATATTTCCTTACGCTTTCTCAAAAGTTAAATCTTGCTTCTTTACAGACATAGATTTCCCATTAGAATAGCTCACCTGTTCTCCACTTCAATTACCTCCTCCTCGATGTCAAAGTCATTGACCACGTCATCGTTCTCCGGGGGAGGGGCTAAAACCTCTTCCTGCACAAAACAGAAAACATTTTAAAGTGTATCAGTCAGCCAAGGGGAGCCTAGACACAACCAGGCATGGGACGATTTAAACCTTTCGTATCAAGTTAACTCGGGCCAAAATCCATGCGTTCACGAAACATAATGGAGAAACCTTATGTTATGTTTTCTTAAAACATTTTGAAATAAGTATTCATCAAAAATATGGCACTCATCCTTAAGTGAAATCAAACCAGCTTGAATAAGACAATAACAAATAATAAGCTCCCCATCATAAAAAAAATAAATAAATGTATTAAATGCTGTATTACTCACATAATAGTCCTCTATCTTTGTTTTTTTAACAGGCTCTATTTTTCACTTTAATAGCAAGCTAGACAGCTTTCATAACTCACATATGTGTCATGATTATCCCAACTATAAAAATGTTACCACAATCAATATTGTTGAATTTAAGCACGATCTGCAATAGCAGGATCATCATCCATCACACCACTTATTGACAATTAGATTAAAGCTAGATGGTGACCATAACTATTAACTAACGAGTACGAAAAAATGCTCTCTCAATGACTATCAGGTTTGGTTAAACTCCAAGATAGTTGTTCTCTTAGGGACACAGCCAGTTGATTGGGAAACTAGTAATATGTATGTATAGTCAGTGAACTTCTCTTTCACACTGTCACCTACCAGGCTCTCCTCTCTGGTACCCATCATCATAATCTTAGTGTTAGGCTTCAGCTTCAGAGAGCCCAGCTTCACCTCATCTTCTGCAGGTTTACCTGAAGCAGGAATGAAAGAGAGAAAGAACAGAAGGAGAAAAGGGAGATTCATTTAGCTTTTTTTAAAAACACAATTAAACTAAAAAGAATGTATAAACTACGGACAGGTGGAAAACTTTGACACTCAAGCAGTTAACAGACTCAGAAATTGACTTGTAAAACATCAGCTTATGCTACGAATCTGGATAAACATAAAAAAGCCTTGGGAAACGTAGTGGTGGATTTGTTTGATCAGAAGCTGATATCATTTAGGTGAGATGTTTCTATAATCAACAATGATGGCACAACAGAAAATAAAATCTTGTCCACTTGGTTTGGATATCGTATGGCAAAAATAACATTTGTGACCACTCACCTTTGACCTTAAGTCCTAGTAGTTTCTGTCTCTCCGGCAGAACCCCAGTCAGGCTCTTGATGGACTGCTTCAGGTCCATCACTGTGTCCTCCTCAGACAAAGAACTGATGGAGTACTCCTGACCTCCCCACTTTATGATCACTGATACTGACATGTCACTAACGGGCTCTTCACACACATACACACACACTGCAGCTGGAAGAATGCACGCGCGCATACGAGTGCACACCCTTTCAAGCTAAAATACTTCCAGCTACAGTAACATACATGCACACGTACCTTACAGATAAAGGGGAAAGAAACAAGGAGATGTGTCAGGATCCCACACTGTTGTTGGCTGTTGCTTGAGCAAAACGTAGAAAGTAGCTAATAATTAAAGACATAGAGCAAAATATGCCATCCTTATTGTAAAACATGTGTTGTTTTGGCTGGCTGATTCAAGAAACAACGGCCAAATGCCACCTTAATCGCACCAGACACTTTGACAGTGTCTGCTGTTTATATTTTTAGCATGAGATGGCTAACAGTGACTAGCAACAATGTAAACACGCCAGGCAACTAGCCAACAAGCTATCATTAGCTCACTAAGCTACAAGGTGTTGGCATCCTTACCTGGTAGGGCAAGCTAGCGTGTAATGCTGGACAAACACTGCCAAATTACTTCGGGAAGTTGAATGAATGAATCAAGTTTGCCGTTCAGTTTCATTCATCGAGCAGCGCACATCCTGGCGTCCCGAATTCTACCGGTAGTGACGTAGTACAAAAAAAACTTCGTTGCCATAGTGACCATGATTTAATGGATTCACGTAAAATAGTTTTCCAATACTGATTTCAAACTTTGGTCATCCAAAACAAAAATACCCTTAAATGTACCATTAAATACACCCTATGTTATGCTTAATACATATTCTCTGATTGACTACAAATGTAAAACACAAGTAGCAATTCTAAAGTCCAAAATACTCTGTTGTAAATAAAAGTAATTAGGGAATGTTTATTAAAAGGGCTACTTAAATAAAATAAAAAAATACATACCATGTCTTGTTACCAAGTGACTCCAAACTTATATCAGATATCAAAACTTATTTAGACATATTAAACACCTCCCTTTTCTATTGGATTTTAGCCCATCTTCTCCTACATGTTTACTGTAGGCCTATGTTAAAATGCAGGAGTTTTCAATTGTAAAGAGGATTGTCTAATAGCTTTTCAGGCATTCCTGTGGAGGTTGGGGACATTGAACCAGAGTGGGCGGTGTTCAAAGCCTCTATTGCCGAAGCCGTGGTGGGGAGCTGTGGTCTCAAGGTCTTAGGTTCCTCAAGGGGCGGTAACCCTCGAACCTCCTGGTGGACACCGGTGGTCAGGGAAGCCGTCCGACTGAAGAAGGAGGCCTTCAGGGATTTGTTATCCCGGGGGACTCCCAAAGCAGTTCCAAGGTACCGACAGGCCCGAAGGGCAGCAGCCTCAGCCGTGGCCGAGGCAAAGCCAGTAGGGCCTGGCTCATTTCGTGGCATCTACAGGCAGTGGCAAGTACTTCCGGCATCTGCCACAGAGGCCGCTACTCCGTGGTATCTGTGGCAAGTATATGCCACAGATGTGGTATCTGTGNGCGCTTCCAATTGGCCAGCACTCTAGCGCAATTCGTTCATGATAGTCCTAATGGGTGGTGATTTCTAAGCAGTTTTTGAACAATTCCAACAGAGCCGGCCAGCTAACCAATCAGAGCAGACTGGTTTCCGACAGAGTGTGAGCCTAATGCTGCGTTCACACCGGACACGAGGTCGAAGGATCGCTTGAGATTCACCGCGGGCTGCCAAGCTGGTGGTTTATCGCCGGGTCATTCAACAAGACAGCGCTGGCTCGGGGGCTAACTACCACCAAACGAACATGATTTTACCCGTGATTAAATTGTAATACACGTTTCTAAATGACTGCGACGTAACAACATACTGATACCGGCTTAGTAAAAACCATGAATTAACGCTGGACAAGTTGCAGACAAGACGGCGGGACGAAACACCTTTTAAAATGCGTGTTTTCTGAATGGAGAATTGGGTCGAAGGCTCCAGCTAACGTTGGTAATGCGTCATTCCACACTCCCACAACAACGGCTATACGAAAGACATAAATAACCAGCGACGTGTATTTCACCATGACACAGACAGTCTGTGGTTTGTACTTGTTTAACTTTTGCCAGTTTCCCTGAACAGATATGAGGAAGCTGTGAGCTCTGTGGTGCTGACAGCTAACAGCTAACGGCTGATGTCTGTTGAACGTCAATGACGGCAGGCTTGAGATCCTCACCGCTGTTGCGCTACCACGAGATCCTCGTCACGCGAAAATGAACGCTCGAGTTGAAAAATTGAACTTGAGCGTTGGTCGCGGCCCCCTTCATCGCGCCGCGGAATTCGCATACACCGCTTCATGCTTTGCCGTTGGAGCGAATTTGCGGTCCGTCCGCCGTCTCTGCATTGACTTTACATGTAATCGGCCGCAAACATTGCCATCGCGTCCGCTGTGGACAGCATAAATGTCTCTTTGAAAGGTCTTTCTCATACACTGTGGTACTCCTGCTCAGTCCAGACTGGTCCTCCGTCCGTGTCGGTTGGCTCATTGCCATTCGTAGTGTCGTCGTACTCGTCCGTCGTAGTCATCCAGGCTGTACGCCTCGGGTTCTCCAGGCTCCAGGCCACTCGTCACCACCGTCTCGTAGGACAGGAGCTGAAGCTTTCTGTCCGCTATGTGCTGCTTGTCGTTCAGCAACTCTTTGCGCTCTCCCTTTCCTGGCAAGAATTTATAATAAACAAAGAGCAGATCACAGGCAGTCCTTTTCTTCTTTCTTGTAATATGTTAAATGATTTTAGCGTTATTAAGAATCCTACTTTGCTTTCACTAAACATTTTGGGTAGGGTTTTTTAAGCACATAAAGAGGCAGTATTCTTTCTGGCTCATTTTACTCCTGCCTTTCCAGATGCGGGACACTCCACCTGTGCTCTGCGGAAAACGTCAAAACTCGTCATCATCGAACACGTTGGATACTGCACGTTCAGGCACATCTGGAAGCGGCTCCCCACCACTGGCCTGAAGGACAGAAGAAGAACGGGAGTCCAAACACAGCTTTGAGGACTCATTTGGCTTTCAAATGATTCACTACACCCATTCCTACAAATCATCTGCAATAGATTTGATTCATTTTGTGGAGTTTGTCCCAAAAAGTATTAACAGCAATTTTAGGTTATCATTAACTGAAGTTATCAAATATATATAATTTAACAAGCAATAATGCTGAAGATTTGGAATGTTTCATCTTGTTAAAGGGGCCCTATTATGCTTTTGGGGGTTTTCCCTTTCCCCATAGTGTGTTACAGAGGTTTGTGTGGCATGTTAATGGGTCTGCAAAGATTAAAATCACTAAAAGAATCCTCCAGAAGGGAGTCGAGTCCCCCCACCCCCACCTCCATTGGACTCCTTTGTTAACTTATTTTCGATTCGCTAACGCTCCAATACAATTATACGTGATTTGCGTAGGGGCGTGCATTACTATGACAATGCATCGAGTAATTAAGAAATTAGAGTAGCCAAAGATAAGTGACATTTTTGAACTAAAACGCAATTAATTTCTAACATGTGCCCCTCTCTATCAAAGTCAGACAGATTTTTAATTGCGTTCTGAGAGATAATAGAAACTTGTGATTGTGTTATTTGGGATTCAGTGTTGATTATTTAAATAAAATGTGGCTTTCAGAACATATAATTCTATTCGCCATATTGAGACGATAAACACGTTTTTTAAGCTTGTACGGAACAGGCTGTCACTTACACACACGTTCTGATGCTACTAGCTTAAAAGTGAGGTTAGCCTAATTCATAGGAACAGATGACTGAGAACAATAATCTGCTGCACTGTTGAACCATCATTGAAGGAACCGCCTGTTAACAAAACTTTGTTCAAATAAAGATTTTCAGAATCCAAGCTAATCCAATGCAGCACCTCTGAACAGAGGCCCAGTCTGCTCTGATTGGTTAGCTGGCCGGCTCTGTTGGTGATTGCTCCAACTGCGTAGAATATGTCCCGCCTCTTAGGCCATTAGGTACAATGTGTTTGGCCGATCTATGTGGCAATAATTATATAATAGAGCATTTTTAGGTAAAGGTACCCCTGTGTGGTGGGTTCACCTGGGCATGGCTCCGGTCCAGCCTGGTCCAGGCTGGGGGCAGGCCGTCCTCAGGATGTTGTTGATGACCAGGCTCCAGAGTTGTATTGGTACTCCTTGAGGCAGGGCCAGCAGGAAGCCTCGCGCAGGTCCGGCAGCAGGTCCCCTGATGCAGGTCAGCAGAGACTCCTGCTCCGCCTCGCTCACCGCACACACCGCTCCCTGAGAGGGGCATCACGAGCAGAGACTTCATTATCCTTATTGTCATTTCAGTTTTTAATGAAATGGATTATAATATTATAGTTGTACTGATAAAGGTGCTGGTATATATGTTTTATTGATCTCTACTCTGTTTTTGTTTTGCTTTTTAGATTAAAGTTTGTTTATGGGTTTTCTTTGTTTAACAAAGATATACATATATACAGGCTTTGGGAGTTAATAATGACATGTAACTGGATTACATTACTGCAATACTCCCTTACATAAAAAAAAAGACATTTCTACAAATGATTGCAAGCAGGATAACAATGTTACAAAACAAAATAAAAGTTTGCAGTATAGTATCAGCTCTTATCTCTTCCCTGTAAGCTGTACTGTTCAGTAGGCTAATACTTCAAGTGTGGATCTCTACGCCTTCTACCTGAATCTGCTTTATGGCTTTCTTTCTTCCATTTGTTATTTTTATAATTCAGAAGTTGAACCTATATGTTCATTAAATAGTGTGTATGCGCACACTCGTTAGTAGTCACTATCACTAGTCATGTGAACTGAATGTTGAATGTTGAAAAAAGCAAGACAAATGAAGACATGCTGCTTATGAGATATCTGATAACAATTAGAGAACTCACAACATTGTTCTCTTTTCGGGGAGCGTCCACCATGGCCTCGGCCCCCCTCAGGCCCTCCCCCCCTCTCTCTGGCTCTCGGGCCTCAGCAGCACCGCCCGCTGCTCCCTGATACTGACTGTTGCTGTGTGGCCTCCGGTGGCCCACTGAGTCCCAGGCGCTCTGCACCCCCTGCAGCAGGTAGGAGGTCCGGGTCTCATCTCTGATCGGAGCAGGCAGTTAGGGGAAATAAACCATCAATACTGCAGACAGCATTAACCGCTGCTAATATTACAGTATGGCTGTGAGAACATTCGTCCATCCTGAATATCCCTCCACTAAAACTGGTGGTTGACCTGATCTTATTGAAAAGGCAATATTCATCTTACCAATTGCGGTCCGAAATAGGGTGGTAAGGGATACTATGCCCCTAGATATTAAAAGGTGTAACATTTGAATGTAATTTCTACCTTTGCAAACACAAGATGTATTATCCATCTTTGTCCCAAATGTAGCTTGATTTGCTCTACTAACTCAACGAAAATCTGATGTGGTTATATAGGCTCTATAAACCTACACAATTGATTTTCTAAATAGTTGCTGATTGGTCCACATGGCGCCTTTTTCTGGCAGGCTGGGCACTGGGCAGAGCGTCCTCCCAGCATTTCATTAAAAAAAATGCTCCCAGAGCTTTTATATTGTTTCTTTGACAGTAGTATCTTGACAACGTATCACTGCTGCTGTATGACGGACTAGGTTTGCACTCATGGATTTTATTAGTTGTTTGTGCTACTTTATATTCGTTTCACCATATAGCGGCTAGCCCCACCGTCATATGCTTCCTCTCACACTCACCTGCAGCTGGCTGTTTGCTTAAACAAATGAGCTTTTCAGTCTTTGTTATGATATGGAAAACACAAGGTTGAAAAGAAGCTTCTCCTGCTGCGAGGCATGTGCTCTGTTCTCATGGAATCAGTTGGAAAAAGAAGGCGGCACACAGAAAAATCAGCTATGTGGCTCTTATTCAACCAAATGCTGCCCATACACTCAAGAGAACATTTTACCCGGTGGAAACATAAAATGTATGTTCCATCTTTGTCCCGAATTTGACTTGATTTGTTCTACTAGCTCAACAAAAACATGAACTCTGAAAAGATGGTTATTATCTGGTAGAAACCGATTCAGAAAATATATTTTTTTCCTGTAGAGCGGTGAAGGATACATGACAGGGAGGGCTTGTTGTAGGAGGCTGATGTAGTCTGCGATGGGGAACTGCTCATCAAAGTCTGACAAGAACCTGAGGGGACAAAGAAAAAGGAAATCCCATCATGCACTTTGTTATTGTGTCTCAAAAGATGAGCGCAGCGCTACGTCACTACCCGGCCAAATAATCGCCCCGCCCACTTTCAGGTGAAAACAAAGAATCGGCATCAGGCGTTATCATTTGTTATCATGCCTAAAAGCTGCTGTGTCTTGTATCGCACGTCAAACAACACAGATCCAAAGTTCACATTTTCTATATTTTGACTAAAAGGATATTAAAAGTGAATATCTGTGGGAGAACTGAGATTGTCATTATTGGGACCCGGTCAGTCATGAATTTACATCTACACTTCCTCACAGCTACATTGTGATGCCAGTAGTCAGAGTAAACATGTGTAAGGCTAAAGGTCAAAGTAGTGACTGTAGATGCTGCATTAGAAGATAGAAAAAGTGAGACAACCCACTTTGGAAAAGCCCCCACCCCTCAGAACCGGTAGTTTTACCTTTTCTCAGGTAAAAAAGATGTGAAATGTTGTAGCAGCTCCTCTGCACATGATTGCATGTTTTCGCCCCTGCAAGAGAACAAATGCAGCGAGTTAATGTTTGCATATGGATGTCAATTCTGCTAAGATGCATGTAGAGAGTGTGGACGTCTCACCCCTCCAGGATGGGCTGCAGGCAGGTGTGATGCAGCAGCAGCTGGGCCATCTCCACTATCTTACGACAGGAGTGAGACAGCCTTTTCCACAAGTCCTCCTGAAGACTAAAGCATGGTTTGGGACATTATTCATAGGTGGGTGTCAATCTTTTGGCTTTAATTAAGTTTTTTAAATGCAGCAGAAACTCACCCTGTAGCATCAAAGTTTCTCTTCCTCACCGCCTTCTCCAGGTCGGGCACAGCGCTCTCATAAAACGAGACCAGTCTGCAAGAGAGACGAAAACAAAGTGGTGGTGAGAAGCTTTTATGAAAGGTGTGGCTACGGTACTACCGGGTCAGTCCATTGGTTACCTGCTGAGGAAGCCGTGGGAGTGGAAGCTGGAGCAGGCGGCAGGGAAGATGTCCAGGAAGGCATGGATGGTGGTGGTGGAGTCACACAGGTATAGAACAAGATCTACCAGATCCTGGGACAGAGAAAAAACAACCACATTTATTATCAATGACATGAAGCAGCAGTGATTTGGTATCTCTAAATTCACTTTTAAAGACCCAGTTTTATAGAATAGAATAAGCGGCAGGCCTTATATAATAATAATAAGGTGTCTTATTATTATGGTGCTGGTTAGCCTAGTTTCTAAGGAAAGCCAGATTCATTCATCAATCTCATTCACCTTATATTTTATAAAATTACTTTTTACATAAATAGTCACTCTTGCAGATTTGTCTCCGTGCAAGAACAGTCTGAATTATATTTGTATTTGAGAACACATACATACTGGATATTAAAATACGTAGTATCTGTGTGCGTGTGCGTGTGCGTGTGTGTGTGTGTGTGTGTGTTACCTGCTGGCACATGGTCATGGAAGTGGGCTGTTTGTGTGCGTTCAGCTTCATCGGCTCCATGGCTGCGGCCCCCTCACAATGGAGACCACACTTATCCATGATGGTGTCGAAGATCTAAGGGCAATGGAGAATAACAGAAAGAGAGAATTAGAGGAGAGTCATTTACAATGTCCAGGTTTGGGAGGGTTACTTTGTAAATTTCAGTTAGTTACTGATTACTGAATACATGGCTCTGAAAGTAATCCGAATACAGTTACGTGTCTTAAAAAAGTAACGTAATCAGATTACTTTTAGGTTACTTTCTTTTTCCATCACAGATGGGTATGTTTTGGTGTACAGGAGACACAAAAAGCAAAAGGAAACTGAACGTGTTTTTACTGTTTTAATGGCATATCAAGAGCACAACTGAAACATAACATCTGAAACGATGTAACAACATAATACACTTGTTGGGGATGCAGCTTGGGATGTGAGGAGTGAGGGACACGGCTTAGAACGGGCGTGTCGCCTTCTGTCTTGCCAGTGTTGGCAGGACATGAATTAAAATGTCGAACTCTGACTTAATTTTAAGGACATTTCGGCCAGGGGTGTAGAGCTATATTTGTTCAAGCACCGGGTTGGCAAAACAGGAGAGTGTTCGCACCAGTCTGCCTTGATCTATGTATTCATGTCTGTGACACTCACAGTATCTGCTGTTTTATAGAAGGGAAACCTCCTTCACTTCATGAAATCTCTGCAGCGCCAGGAGGCAGCGAGAGGGTTAACTCAGTCTCTGAGAAGAGGAGCGTGCAGTGCCTTTCACGCACCGCCTTTCACGCACCGCCTTCGCTGTGTTTACCTTCAGAATCATAAGGCTAAAGGGCGACCGCAGGCTGATGTGTTTTAACCACACACACCTCTACACACACACAACTTAAACGCAGACTTTTGTTCCTCCATGTTTTGTTGTTATTGTTTCATTGAGCGGACCCGCCACCTGTTTTTTCAACGCCCTTATTTTGTCCATCTTGGCGGCGGTAAAAGTTTGTGTGCGCTGTGATGATTCGGACTGTACCTTCTAAATAAATGAATATTAAATGTTGTGAGGAAATCTTTCCTACAATGAATTCATAGTAATCCAAAATGTAATCACGTGTCAGGTTTACGAAGTAACTGTAATCAGGTACTCGTTTTTCAAATCGTAACGCGAGCTGAATACAGTTACTTGATTTTTGTATTCTGATTACGTAACAGGCCTGTTACAGTATTGTAAAACCAACCCTGACAATGTCACTGTAGGACAATATACAACACTTTTCAAATGCCTGGGGGTTCAGTTATTGGAAAAATTGTGGAGTTTTTAATTCTTTCCCAATAATCAGAGTTTTAAGTTGAATTCTCTATATCGACTAGTGCAATATCCAATAAGCAAATTATATATCCCTGCGCACTTATTTGTTTAAAGAAAACATGTGTTTGTGGTGCTGGTACAGATGTCTGGGATCTGCAAATTCCGTATTATTTAGACTACCATCAAAAATATGTCTTGGTACAGAAAACAAATATCAAACATCATAATAATATTTCAATACATCTTACAATAATTACAAATACTTAAAAACTACAATAATCTAGAATCTAATTTATGACATCCTTCCTAAATTTTATAGAGGCCGAATGTGCTTTTTTGGGCTTCCCTTTCCTGTAGTTTGTTATAATCGTTTTGTGTGCATGTTAATGGCTGCAAAGGCAAAAATCCCAAAGTTCCCTCTCCCCCCTGACTTCCCTGCCTGAAACGCCTCTGTTTGACTCCTCCTGTAAAATAGTGACATTCACTAACACTTTGCGCTTCTATTGGCTAAATACTAACAACACAGCGTACATATATGGCTAAGGCAGTAGACCGATCACAACCAGG